CCTTTATCAATTACATAATTAGTCTATTCTATATGTAGAAAGTTACCAATATTACAAACTTTAAATAAGTATACTTTTCTTAGACTTTTAAAAAACAAAGAACCTATTTGTTGTAGTGAGTAAGGAATTAGCACATTTTGGGCCCAATCATATGTAATGTGAGTGTTTCCTTCAAAAGTTTTAAATAATACTTGAGATTCAATTATATTTGGATTATGTTTATTATCTTCAATTGTATGTTTAATGTTAGCATTATAGTAATCACGTTCTTATTTTGTATGATTAAGATAAGTTAAATAATTTTCTGTAACTGCTAATTTCTTTTCTTATTCTATAACATACTGAATATCCATTTTCATTTTTTCACAGGTTTTATATATATCAGATTTTGGAGACATAAATTGAAGTAATGATATTAAGGATTTTTAAATATTAATAAAAGTTGATCAGGCTATAATATATATATTACTTCTATACTTATGCTTATAAGCTTATATATAATCATGATACACTGAAAAATAACTATACCCAGTTGGAAGAAATATAACTGGTATAGTAATTTTAGTAAAATTTTATTCAGGTGAAAGTATATCATATATATTAGCATAATTTTTTAAAAATTTTTGTATTTCATATACTAAATTATAATTTACTTTAACACAATTCATATTTTTTTGGAGCTCTGCCGGTACAGTCAGGGAATTTACCAAATAAGGAAACGAATTCTAGAATGATCTACATGAAAATCTTGAAATCTGATTAGCTATTACACAAATGTGATCGACATCCATTTCTTCTTTTTTCAAATTTCATTGTGGCTTAAATACCATACGAATAGATATTAAAAGAGTCCTAGTTTTCATAATCATTCTTAATTTTTTGGGATCAACTCTTTTTAAAAAAGTAAATGAGAACTGAAAATAAGGAATTTGCATTGCATTTTAGTTAATTAAAGTGAAATAAAAGTAATTGACATATTTTTTTTTTTAACTAATTTATTATTTTAAATATATATTTTTTTTTTAGTGTCTGCTTACCAAAAGCCAATAGCAAGAGACCTTCCATGCATTTTCATGGATTTAGTTGAAAATTATAGTAAAATTGGATTAAAAACCTGTGAAATTAAAGAATCGCAAGTCTGGCGGCATGCTAGTAATTCAGAAACAGCTAAGCGACTTACACTTTATCATGATTATCTTTCTGAACTTATTAACTTTCATTCTTTTTTAGAATCTTATTCAATTTGCGAAAGACACTATAATCAAACCATTGCTAAAAAGCAATTTTATTAATCCCTTACAGAAAGATCAAAAATAAATTCCGTTGAATAAATAAGAACAGTGTTTACAGCATCTGATGTATATTACTCATCATTAAGAAGAAGGGTTAGTTTCAGAAAAGAGCAAAGTCCAGACCAAAGGATTCATTCCATTCAAAAAAAAGATAATAGTATTGATTGTCGTTATTTCGATCTAATAGTTGAAATTAAAAAAACCAAAAGTCTTTTAGAGCTTAGTCAATTAGAAAATCAACGGAACTTGCAATTGATAACAGATCTTAACAATCAAATTGCACGAATGCAGCAGCATATGGAATATCAAAAAAAGGAAATAGAAGAATTAAAGCAAAAATTACAAAGAACTTATGATTATGCGGCTGAGTTTCAAAATTTATATGAAGAACAATATAAAAAGAATGATATTCTCATTGAGCAGTAGGATTTGCGATTTGATAATCAACAAAAATGGATTGATGCAATTACTGAAATAGCAAAGATAGAACGAGAGGCATTATTCAATGATATAGAATTATTGATCAGAGATAATGAAAGATTTTCTGTAGAGAGTCTCATAGCATACACTCCGCGAGAATGGCTCAATAAGCGTAATCAGGTTGCTGTTAAATTTATTGAAACTCTCACTTATAACAATCGGAACACTGATACATTGAGTCAGGAAAAGGTTTTCAAAACTGCTGTTGCAGTTGATGCAATATATGAAGTACAACATGGAAAATATGTATCAGAGATCCAGCTTGCAGCCTCAGCCATCAAATATTCAATTGCACGATCAAAGATGATAATTACTATTGATAATCATATTACAAACTCAGAAGCTATTATCAGTTCCAAAAGTGGCTAGAAGAGTTGTCAGAGCATGAAGAACCATTACCTGAAGGCCTTTTATTTCTTGCGTTCGATAATGAGCAAAAAGGACAAAAAAACTATCTCGATCGAGGATCTAATACAGTTATTTTCCATATCGTTACCAGTTTTGTTGTTTTTAACATGACATCACAAAATAAAATTCAATATACTAACTCACCTTAGTTGTATCATTCTCTTAACAGGTTACAGTATGAAGAGCTTTTCGATATTAACCCTCAAATGCAAGATGTTCTTGATAAAAAATTATATGATTATCTTTCTGAGATTTTTAATTTGTTATCTGAAGAAAAATCATCCTTTACTAATACTATTGACTCTTTAATAACATCTGCAGGAACTAGCATCACCAATATGAAAAAGTGTCTTAATTGTCTTCAAAAAAATATTGAAAATCAGAAGCAGACATGCCCAAATTGTAAAACACAACTACCAACGTTATCAGAAATTCGAAAAGAAAGAGCAATCAATATTGAAGATGAAACCATTAACCACTCAATACCATTAAAAATACCACTTATTTTTAAGCCTTATAATATTAATAATGAATCAAGTGCTATTCTTACTTCTTGGATCAGTCTTACTCAGCAACAAGCCGATCATGGAGTTAATGTCCTAGAGATTTATATTCCTGATCTGATTAATATAAATCCTAACTCAATTGTGAATGTTGAAAAGGTTCTTCTTCATATAGAAAAAATATCAGGTATTAAGGATGGGACTTGTAAATGGCTAGCGGTAGCTTGTGATGGTGTTCCATATCATCATGCCACAAAGTTGAAAGAAAAGTTCTCTTGGTTAGTTCTTATACCAGGACAATTACATGAGGAAATGAATATGCTTCGAGCATATGTTGAGTTAAATTGGGAAATCGATTTGAAACAATTTGCAATATGTCAAGGTTATTGAACAGACAATCAACTGGCTTATTTTAAAAAATGTATAGATCATCATAAGTCCTGAGATTCTATTTGTAATATATATCGTCAAGCAATGGCAATGGAACTTATGTGGCCATATGTAAAAAGTCATGTTAACCCCTCAATTAAAGGATATTTGGCTTGGATCAAAGAATAACAAGATCTAATTTATCAGCTAAAATATGAGCAAACATTTGTTTATCTTCAGGCAATCATCAATTATCAAAAAGCCATAAGAACTAATAATCCATTTTTAAAAAGAGCTGCTAAAAGATCATTCTCTCCAATTTGGTCCGCAAGACATCATCCCATTTACCGTCTAATAGAAGTTTCTAATGAAGTGCAATCTATGTGGCTCTGTCCAGAAGTGTATATGAGATCATCGAAAAAAATTGTGTTGTATCTAGATCAGGCCTTTATGAATAGCATCAAGGGTTAGATGCAATTATTGAGGAAGTAAATAAGGCCTTGAAATTTTTGATTCCTCCTGTCCCTCAATATCACTATTGGAAAATTGCAGCACAAAATTGTAAAAAATTTATTGAACTTAGAGATAATTTATTTAAACTAATCGGTTATAATGATTCTACATCAGGACCAAGGACTCAGCCAGAAGCAATAATGGAATGTCAAAGATTTCATGTCAAACTGAGGAATCATGAATTCGTTAATCCTATGAATACAAGAACTATTTGTCAAAGTCTAGGAGAGGAATATGAATTAAGCATACATTTAAATAATTTCACATATTTAGCAAAACAGGCTCGAAAAAATTATATTATTGATGTATTTATTAATAAAAAACCATCTCCTTTTTTTAGGTCAATACCGATAATAAAACAAGAAGCAGATATGCAAGAAAATGAAAAATATATGAACAAGGCAGAAATTTTATTAAAGATCGAAACTCTTCTTGAACAACTTGGTGAAAATACTCGAAAAAAATATCCTGGATTAGGATCAAAAAAGTGAGGCAAATTATTAGATATATTGTAAGAGAAAAACATTTATTTACTTCGAATAATAATTTTAATTCGGAATAATTTATATTTTATTTTATTTATTTTTATTTAGGCACTTTTTCTGACGACCATTTTCTCGATCTGCATTATATAAAATGCCATGCCAAAAGTTTATAAAAATAGAATAATCAAAGTTTCCTAAAGAACTGGTATTCCAATTGAACCTTTCTTTCTATTCAATTTATTACAATTAATTCAAATTTTTTTACTTGATATTTTTATTGTAAATAAGTAAATAAAGTTTTTATTTATTTTTAATTTTGACTAATAATTTTCTGAATTGCAAATTTTTCAAGTATATATTGATCAGAGCGCTAATATTTCTAAAGATGCCTTATATTGCAGTATTGACACGATATTGACGTGTGAATTTATTAGTAAAAATGTATTATCGTCACGGTATTGTCGTGGTATAGCTATAGGATGATCTTTGTGACTCCGTCTTCAGTTGGTATTAATGCTTTGTACAGAATTTAGTCTTGAGACCTGAAAAATTTACTGTATCACATCATGAGTTAGAAGTTTATTTAACAAATCGCAGATCAAATTTCGTAACACACTCTGACGCGAATTTATCCAGAAATTATATAGAAAGTTATTAGAAATCTAGCATATATAGTACAGTAACAATTTTAAGAGGGTAAAATGGCATTAGCCAAGAGCTTTATTTGAGAAAATACAAGTACAGAAACTACAATAATAATAATAATAGTAAAAAAAGAAAAGAAAAGAAAATACAGATGGAAAAGATAAAAACTCAGAGGGTAAGTAAACCATAATTAGTAAGTGTGTACGTCAATATGAAAATAACATTAAGTAAACTATGGTTAGCCAAAGCGTATGTTGCCCTGTGCATCAAAATAAGTTAGTAAAGAGTATAATGAGAAGAATGCAATGAATAAGCAAAATGAAATTGTTTACTTCTCTGCCATAACAAAGTATCCAAGGAGCGTCATGACATTTGGACCTCTTCTAAACGACGAGCCAGAGTTCGATTTTGGTTCTTATACCCTTGCAGAAGCTTAAAGAAGTCTTCATACTTTTTGCGAGCAGAAGTGTACTTACCATACCAGTTATTTAACTCTCTTGAAAGAGAGGACAGTCATTCTAAAGCTTCTAATAATGCAAGTACTTCCTCATGGTACTCCGTAAGCAACATTAAAGAGAAAGTAACCTGACGTTGAAGGATCTCTTTTTCTTTTTCTTGTTCTTCTTATTTTTTTTCCTGTTTATGTCGAGTACAGTTGATAAAAATCTTGAGCGTTGAAACTTAGTCATGGTGAAAAAGTAAAAAGGTTAGAAAAGTGGCAATCTTGTGAACCATGATGATCAACAAAACAAAGCAAAATATCACTTGCTGATCATTTTTAATTTTGGAGTGATCTGCAAATTTCTTTGAATTTCTAGAATGTCAATCATTTGTAGATCATTGCTTTATTTAGAATTCCATATTTGGTAAAATTCCTGACTGCAGTATTACTATATGTATACTCTTCAAGACTATATTCCTGTAAATGTTCTTTTATATTATCCAAATATTTGTGACTAATTCTAATAAGAAACAAGTATGCAATACAGTAGATTAAAAGATTATTATTAAAACAAAAATTGAAACGTGAATATTTTTTTTTATCTTTAGTTGAATTTCCTTCTTTTTAAAAAGCTATAAGTTGTTCTTTAATAACTATATCCTGCATAGTCTTATCTAAACTTTTAAATTCTGCTCTATGTTTAAGAAACCTTTTGTATCCAATTTTCTCAAAATAATTAGAATAACACAAATATTTCCCATTTTTAAAAACCTTTTTGACTTTTAATTTCAGATTATCATAAATACTATCTTTAATATAACTATCAGAATTTTTGGCAAATTCAAAATTACTTAAATGTAAATTTTCAAAATTTTTATTGATAGATGCAATTTCTTCATCAGATATTATTTCATGATTATCTAATATATTTTTTTCACTTTCAGAACTTGAACTTTCAAGAAAAAAAGTATTTTCTAGTTCTTCCAAAGTAGCTGAAATGGTTTTATTTGCATTATCATTAACAAAATAAATACCATATTCTATATTATTCATTTAATATTATAATGAAAGTTTTTTATGATGAAAGGGCAAAAAAAGAAGCCAAATTTTACGTCTTTTTATGCTTTTTTACTAATAAATTATGATGAAAAAAACTTTTTTTCCAAATGGTTAGATTAGTGAGTATATAATTATCATAAAATCTCAAAATCTGATTAGTCAACGTATCACTACCTTTTGCTATAGCAGTTCTCATTTGATGAAGAGATTATAATAAAAGATGATAAACAATTGTCATCTAATAATACTATTAAAAATTAGGATTAATAAACCTGTTAATTGTAATGGATTAATTGAAAAAATTAAACAACTTTTCTGCAGCAATAGAGCATTATTGGGATGATCTTATATCTTCTGATATGCTTTTTCTTAGTCTTTTAGATTCAAGAATAAAAGATCTTAGTTTTATTACTGATTCAAAACATCAAGTAATTAAAAATTTATTAAGAGAGAAATATAAAGAATTAAAGTCTCAAGATCAAAATAATAATTCTAATTTATCATTAGGCCGTTACAATTTAAAAGTCTGTTTAACATCGGGTTTCCTAAAAAAAACAGAGAGGAGGGGGGCATAAAAAATTTTTTGCAAATCTACACTTTATAGTAATTTCGAAAAAAATGGGAGGAGATTTTTTTTAATTATATTATTTTTTTATAAATGCAAAATATATTTTCTTGGAGAGGGGAAAAGCTTTTTTTTTATTTTTAAATGTATATTGTAAAGTAATTCTCATCATTATTATTTTATTTATTAAAAGATTACAATTCAT